CGAATTTTATGAGAATAAAAAAGGTACCCAACATTTGCAGAACCAACTAATTAGGATCATTAATATATTTTTTTGGATAAAATAATCTAAAGTCTTTTGTTCCATTGACCAATAGTATTTTGATTAAAACTTCCTCTCACTTCTTGAGCAAATAGTGCATCTGGAGTTGGATAGTGAGGTGTAAAACCATGACCAATAGTATTACTAATCGCAAGCAAAAGAGAGTGATAGGTTAGTACATTAGGTGAAGCATGAAAATAGGGTGAATCATAGTGTTGTGGAGCAAATTGACTAGATGAGGAGTATGTTGTTGTGTGTTTGATAAAGATGATGTAAAAAGACGGTGATTAAAATAGGTTTGCTTATGTGCTAACAGAGTGTGTTTGCATGTCATGTTTGCACTGAATTGTATCTTTCCAACCTTATCTCATGCCTATGCAGCAGAAATTGAGCCTCTTGAAGTGTGACATTATCCCCTCTAGAAGATAAATGCATAGAGAGACTACATCATATTCAAGTCTTAGACCATCGAAAATATAAGCTATGAGTTTTTCATTGGTTAAAACAACTCCACTAGCAGATAAAGAGCCAACATATCCCTTCATTTTTAGAATAAACTCATTGATGCTTAGTGCTTCTTTTCTAGTATTTTGTAACAGATTTCTTAGGTGCATTGTTCTAGCCTTAGATTCAGTCACAAAGTGATTCTCTACAGTCCTCCAAATATAAAAAGCACCCCTACACTTAGCCATTTTTCTGAACATTATTGATTCAGAAATTGAATAAAACAACCAACTTATAAGAAACTGATCAATTCTCTTCCACAACAGATATTCAGGATTAGAAGCTTTAACAATTGAACCTGAAGTTTCATTTTTAACAACAATAAAAGAAGAAGGACAAGTTCGAGTTCTAGTTACAAAATCTTTAAGCTCAAATGAAGTTGATGCTGGCAATACCATAGAATGCCAATAATTGTAATTTTTCTCAACCAACTTCACAGAAATTGTTGGCAAAGACGAAGGAAAATTGAAGGCAAACATTTGATCACTGGAATTGGAACCTTTTTCTGCAGTTTTGCCAAAGTCTTCTCAAACATATTTGACGAAATTGAGAAATAAGCCATGACGTTAGTCTGTAGCACTGATACCATGATAGATTTTGATAGGGTAATTTTACAAAGCCGAGAAAGTGCAAAGAAATGAAAGAAAAACAAAGAAAATACTGAGAGTTTGAGAGAAAATTACTAAACTTCAGTAAGATATTTCTCATTAAGAACCAGAATGAGTACAATTAAGCTTTTATACAATTATTTAGCGCCTGCACTACAAACCCAGAAGCTTAAACCATTATGCTTAATCCGTCTTGGTAGCTTAAGCCTTGTGTTTTGATGTTGTTGAAACGCATCGTTTTATTAAAGATAACAAACGGAACCAAACAAATCCACTCATTCAATTAATTCAAGACACCTTATAGTATACCCATCTTCTGTTAACACACTGTTAACCATAAACCAACTGCCTTTGAAACACAAGCTCAGTTCTTCTGTTGTTCAGTTTTCAATTTTGCTTCTCTTGCTTCTTCTTCTTTCTTTACATTAACATGTTTGTATATCAGTTATCCATCTACATTATTAACATACAGTTTACATTTGATTATTTGAGTAGCCATAAGGATGATGAGCTAAAGAAATTTGTATCTTAATGGCTAGCTTCAATGCTAGTCAAAATAGACATAAAAATACAATTAACATTTTGCATTATAATCAAACAAAAAATATAAAATTAAAATTAAAAAAAGCCAAACAGAAATCTCTCAAACCCTAAAACACATAACCTAATAACTTATCTCGATAGCTGCCACCCACCGCTACTTGTTATGAACACACAACCATCGCACGACTGCTAGAGTCGATTAAGCCGCTGCCAGCGCAATAAGCCCTAGGCAATCGTACTGCCACCAACTTGAAAGGCTTCTATCTATCGTGTCGCCGCTAATGCAAAAGGTTTCAACGATCATGTCGCCGTTGATTGTGTGACCAACACAAAAGGCCTCTGCCAATTTACATTAATTCTGCAAGGTTGATAGATGAAAGTTTTAAACCCAATCAAATTGATTAAAACTTATGCGGAATTAAGATTACTTGTTCACGTTGTGCTTAATGAGTTGCTAAACTAATGATTAAACATATAAACCATCACGACATAAAATAAAGCACACAACTCATTTTTAACATGGTTCGGCAATCATGCCTACATCCATGGGACCAAGTCTAGAAGAAACTAATCCACTATGAAATAATTATGTATTCAATTACAAAGACAAGAATAAGTATCAGTTGTAAAAACTGTCTGTTTGGACAACACTTCAATCTTTGCTCTTTGGTTGAACCTCAAACCTTCATAGTCTAGCTTCTTGTCCACAGGACCATCAGGTCGCACTTGAACTCCTCTCAAGTTTCAACAATGACAAATTACTTCGGCAACAGCAGCTCAAACACGTTCTAGAATCAACTCATACAAGCAATATGACTTCCTCAAAGAAATCAAAATAATAAAAAGATTATTTATACTTGAGTGACTTTGAAAGGAAAAACAAGAAATCAAACCTGTTTTGGAAAAAATTCTTGAGATCCTAAACTCCTTTATGTGAAAGAATTCTTTAATCTATAATGTCTTTATAAGAAAAGACTTCCTAAAGAAGATTATCTTAGAATAAAACTTTTTTTTGTTTAACAATTAATATCAACATAAAATCTTTTATAAACAGGAATACAATTTAATTATGGCAGATATTCAAAACAACTTTAATTAAAAATAAATCTGCTGCCATGTGTGACTATAAGTTGACAAAAAAAAAAAAAAAATTACAATCGATTTTTAATCCAGCAATTTGTAAGTAGTTACGTAACATCATGTGCTCATGCTAGGTAAATATAATATTTATTTAAATTTTGCTATTTATGTTGTCTCTTATTAAAACTGATTTATTTGAATCTATTAGAAATTGAATTGGTGTTACTGTCTTCCGCAAAGCGTACCAAGGTGCAACATATATCGAATGGAGGACTGGTGTAATGTTTCCTAATGGGTATATTCGTGCATGCGACATCTTCTACAATTACTTGTGGTCATGCACAGATTTAAGGCTTTAGCATGCAATCAACTGAAATTTTAATTTTGACAAAGCACGGTTTATTGTTTTTTTAGTTTAACTATTTTTAACATTCATTCTACATGTAGGCTAGTTAATGTTTGTTCTAAACAAAGATTTAGGGTGGTCAGAGCTACTTTGAAAATTTCATCTGTTTCCTAAAGAATTTACCCCTTTTTCTATACAGATTACCTGTTCCTGATGACCAGTCACAGGGTCCATTGCTTTATCTTAATTGATTGGGTAATACTGTAGTTTTTTTTTTTTTTTTTTGGATAAATCCTGAAATTGAATATAAAGAATAAAAAATTACAAACACCAGGAAGCTGCCCTCAACAAAAACCAAACACTAAGCTCAAAAACTATACAAAAATAAAATAACAGCAAGCTAATCCAATCACAGGCTCCCAAAACACCAAAGCCCACATCGTTCAGGCCAAACCATTAATCCAGCTAATCAACTTATTTAACTTTTGAGAGTTGCCCAAGCCATCACCTGGACGGATGGTCCAGGATCCATTACTGTCCCAGAAGCCCAAACTACAACAGTAGGAGAAAACATCCAGCACCCACAACCCAATTTTCAAAACCAGTGCTTCCTAGAGAGGATAAAAGCACCCCCATATCACAACGATGACAGATCTTTACAACAGTGTTGTCAAGCAGCCAATCATTTTTCTGGCACACACGGCTGCTAAGAACCAAAAGAAAATCTGAACAAGAAAAAACGTTAGAAAGGAAGATACTCCAGTGCCCATAATTTACATCCTCAATAACCACAGCATCTCCCCTCTCAAGTCTCCTCCTAGCACAGCCCCTCTGCCCCTCCATGCCTTGAAAAAAACCCCCAGCCCAGGATCCACACGATCCTTAAATCAGCCATAATTTTGCTTCTGCTTCTTCTTCTTTCTTTACATTAACATGTCCATATACATTATTAACATAAGAGTTTACATTTGATGATTTTTGTAGCCATAAGGATGATAATTTGTCAATGATTGTTTACATATGTTTGATTACATCATAATAATTTTAAAGCTATGGAAACCATACAATTTTATTACTCTATAATTAGCACAGATGCATATTCCAAGGTATACACAAATCCACAGGCAAATAATAATTCATATGCAAGTAATAAATACAATCCACAGCAACAGATTGAAAAAAAAAGCCTCCACTGCAGCTGAAATCATTCTCAAATGAGTAAAGATAACCTTAATTTCTTTTACAATTCTATAGCAGCAATTCACATAAAGAGTAAAGCTCACGCAGAACAATCAAGATGGAAACAAATGGCCCTTCCACAGTCTGACTTCACCAAAGGGAACACAGACTACAGATAAAAGAGTTCTTGCTCCACAAGTTTCAATCAACTTTGGCCTATATCAGTTTCAAAATTCGAATCTTTCTCTAAATATAGAGCTTTTGACAACAACAACTGAGACTACTTTTGAAAATATAATTTCATCAAATAGCATCGTAATACACCAGAAGTTAATTACATAGACACATTAAGGCACCCACAAATTCACACTTAATTAAGTCATCAGTAAAATACACAGCAACTGAATGAAAAACAACCTCCACTATTCAAATCAACCTCAAATGAGTGAAGAAACTAAGTTCTGTAACACTTTCAAAGAAGTAATTCACAATGAAGGAGGGCTAAAGCAGGACAATAAAGATACAANAAAAAATGTTTTTCCTTTATTTAAAAGTCTGCTATTAGTCTTTGACTTGCATGATAAGTTGCACGACAGAAAACTATTAAAACAAAAATGAATTATATTTTAACCGTTTATGAGAAATTTACTTATTTTTATATTTATTATCGAAGAAAGAAATCATACCTTGTATTCTAAAGTAGACATTTGTAGTTTGTCACAGCTAGACGCTTCCAACTTCTTTAAATTGGGCCATTCTGAAATGTGCATTCTGGGGTAGAAAGTTCTAAGTTCTTCTAAGTTTTCTAGTATTAGGGATTCTACCCGTGGAAAGATAACTGTAGGAAGTGCTTCTGCTCCTTCTTTGGCGATAATCTCCTTCAACTCTTTACAAGAATTTATAGAGAAGTATCGGAGTTGCTTAAAGTTTTTGACCATAGAAGATGGGAATATATATTTTAGTTTTCCAATGCTACCGATGACCAAATGAGTCAAATTTTGATAGCAATCTGACATTATTGGAAGTTGGCTATCCCATATCATTTGAGAATTAATTGCATGCAGCCTAACATCTTCCAAATTGGGGAAAACGACCTGCACCAAAGTTAATTGTTTCAGTAAGTTTCAAAGTCCGTTCCGTTAAAAGCTCTTTTCATAAATCGATCAATACTAAAAAATTCAGCATTCTTAAAAAATACCAAAAAAAAAAAAAAAAATTTAACATTATTCTTTTATTCATTTTCAAAAGATTTTATCAAATAAAACTTTATATTATAAAATTCATTATTTTGCATCAGATAGAAAGTAAGTTAATATACTTGAGAACAATATGTTTTAAATTGCTCAATTAGAATTAAAATTTCAAGTGTTTTATAAATCCTAACCAAAATGTAAAACACGTGTGTATGTTGAAGAGGCTAGTGACAGTCTCTTGCAATACTTGTTAATTTTTTTATTATTAAAGAAAGACAAAAGGCTCATACCTTGTATTCTGAAGTGAATATGTGTAAATTCTGACAACCAAAAACCTCCAACCTCTTTAACTTGGGCCAACTTGAAGTGTGTATTCCAGGGCAGAAAGTTGTAAGTTTTGGTAAGTAACTGAGTTTTAGGACTTCTACCCTTGAAAATAAAAATGTAGCAGCTGCTTCTGCTCCTTCTTCTTTGCCAACAATCTCCTTTAGTTCTTTACAACTCCCTATCTCAAGATGCTGGAGCTGCTCAAAACTTTTGACCATAGAAGATGGAAATACATAATTTAGTTTCTCCATCTTACTAATGATCAAGCATGTCAAACTTTGATAGCAAGAAGACATTGTTGGAAGTTGGTTGTCCCAGATCATTTCAGCATTAATTGCTTCCAGTTCTAAAGTCTCCAAATGGGGGAAAACAACCTGCATTCAATGTTAACTTTCAATTCAATTATTTCTCATATGAAGTAAAAAAGCAATAATTGTTTCTAAACATTTGACAATATTCCCCTGGCCCCTGGGGTTAGAATCTTAATAAAGAACTCTCTACCTGTCTAGTCTTTAGCATGTGCAAACATTTGAGATACGTCTCGTACATAAACTTTAGCATGCTAAAATTCTAATCATAAATAACTTTTTTTTTTTCATATAGTTTAATAAAATACGAAGTAAAGAAGCAATAATAGCTTAATTAAGACTAGAAATAAGAATGAATGAACATTTGACAAAATGATAAATTTTATGCAAGCAGTAAAAACAAATTCTAGGGACAAAGTTTTAAATGAAATCTAAAATCATGAGAAGAATTTATGAAAAAAGATGCGAAGAATAACGCGTTTCTATTGTAATCTTATTTACATTATTTTTTATTTATTATAAGAGTTTTTTTTTTTGTCTCCTCGTCAATGAGGAATTTGTTTTCTTGTATGTGTTAACAAAAGAGAATAAATGTCAAAAGAAAAAAAAATATTTATAATAGATAAATGCAAAGTTATCGCTGACCAAACCTTTCTGTTAAAAAGTGGCGTGAAAGTATCAAGCTCATCTTCCAAATTATTGTCATTGGACTGTAAATTCGTTGTTGATTCCTTCTGTCTCATTGGCAATGTTGAAGGTGTCTTTACTTCTGAGTAGAAGCTTGCAATCCTTGGAAGATTCTTCAAAGTCAGATAGCATAATTGACAGAATTCAACTCTCTCAATTACTTCATTGTTGTTGACATTATCTTCTCTTTCTGCAACAAAAATCTGTTTCATANCAGCATAGGGAACATGAGCCATAATGATTTACAAACACTTAGAAAATAGGCCTTATTCTGGAGATTTTAAATTCATGGCGTTATATGGTAGTAAACTAAGGTCGACTCTAAATGACCTTCATGCCACTCTTAACTATTAATTATATTGTAATGTTAGTACGCAATACTGACAACAGATAGGAAAGAACCTCCACCGTTCAAATGAACCTCAAATGAGTGAAGGAAGCATTAAGTTCTGTATCCATTTTCAAAGCATCAACTCACAATGAAGGAAAACTAAAGCAAAAGAGAAGATAGAAACAAAAGGCTCTCCCCTTCTCTGACCTCAACACAGCGAACTGGAGCCGCAATAATGCCTCATAAAGAGCCCTTATCCTGGAGATTTCGTCGAAGTTTGGCCAAATCCTTTTCAGAACTCAAAATACCCTGTAAATATAGAGCACAACACATTCAAAGTAAAAAAGAAACTGCAGGGAAATGATATTTTAAACAACAAATTTTTGATAGTTCAGCAAAGAAAAGGAAGTTGAAAGATAAATAAGAAAACGTTTCCATAATCATGAAACTTTATGGTAGTATATATCAAGGAAATTGCCTTCACAACACTTATAAATTCAATATTTTTGTACCTTTTGTCTACTTAAGAGTTATAAATATACCACTGAAATTTGTTACATATACATCCATATATAGCCTTATAATTCAAACTAAAGTAATGAATAAATGCTATATAACGCAACAACCGGCTAAAAAATGGAGAATAATGATCCTTTTCCAACGCTCAAATTCAAATGATGAGTGATGGAGATATAAGCGTGGTTACATTTTCATTAATTAGACTTAGTGTTCTGTTTGGTTTATGCATTTTACCTTATACCCAAAGAAAGGCTGCCTGGAAGTTCCTGGCCTACCTGTAACGTAGAGATATCAAACCAATCAATGTTCAAATGAGTCCAACCAAATCCATGAAACAATTCAAACATCGGCAATTTTAATTATTCTTAACATTTTAGTCTACCGTTCAAATCAACCTAAAATTAGCGAAGGAAGCATTAGTATCTATTTTCAAAGCATCAACTCACAATGAAGGAAAGCTAAAGCAAAAGAATAAAGATAGAACAAAAGGCTCTATCCTTCTCTGACCTCAACACAGGGAACTCAAGCTGCAATAATGCCTCACAAAAGTTCCCTTATCCCCTGGAAGATAAAAACACAATGTTTCCATGATCATGAAACTTGATGGTAGTATATATCAAGGAAATGACCTTCACAATACTATTAAATTCAATATATTTGTATCTTTTGTTTACTTAAGAGTTATCAATATACCCCTGAAATTCCGACGCTCCAATTCAAATGATGAGTGACAGAGATAAGCGTTGTTACATTTCACACCAGCAACATCACAATGAAGGAAAGCCCAAAAGCAGTACATTGGAGATGAAAAAAGATGGCCCTCTCATTGTCTGACTTAAAGCAGAGGAACAGGAGCTGCAATGCATCAAAAAACTAAATAGAGGCCTTATTACTTGAAGTTTGACCTAAATCAACGTTTGAAACTGTGAACGTTCTGAATCATTGGCAAAATATATTGGAAGTGAAAAAGCATGATCAGCAGTGGGATGTCTTTGAACTACACCGATGCCGCAGAATTTGATGTTGTAGAGGAATTTCAAATCACTCGATTGAAAGGAGAGGAAGAATTAGTTCCCTTTTTAGCGCCCGAGCAGAGCTTCGCTTTGTAACTCTTTGAAGAGGAACTGGCGAAAGAATAGAATGATTTTAGTCTGAACAAACCAGAACCACCGAAATCAGACCTATTGATGTGCCATCTGATGATAGTATTTTGATTGAAAAAAAATTAAAAATTTGAGTAAATATTTTTATATAATCATTTGACGTTTTATGGTGATACATTAAGATAATTACCAGTTCTGATATAGTAGTTGTTGTATGCTCAAGAGTTTATTGATTCCCACATAGATGTCTCACATGATTGATCATTAATTAAAAATCAGGCAATGAGTAAGACACATTCTCTTTACTACCATTTAATACATTAATAATGCACTGATCTTTTTATGATAATCTCAAGAAGAATAACTAAAAACTCACCTAAGGCGTGCTCTGGACATTGCAGATATTTGTAGTTCAAGCCCTTTTGGAAGAGCTGCCTGGAAGTTCTTGACCTACCTGTAATGTAGAGAAATCAAACCAATCAATGTTCAAATGAGTCCAACTCCAACCAAATCTTTGAAACAATTCAAACATTGTCAATATTAATTATTCTAAACATTTTAGGATTACAATTGTTCACTTTTTCATAGCAGGATTTCATAATTTGATTGTTTACATATGTTTGTGGGTAAGAGCTCATGTGTGTTTTCAAATATCTTGAGACTTGTAACAAAGACAACACAATCGTGATTACAACAATACAACGAGTNAAGATTTAAGGAGTCTCTCGAACGTTTTCTTGATTGAAGAAGGAGATTATTGTCGTTGAAGAACTGTCTGATTAAGAAATGAGGGAACGGGGGAGAAGAAAACAAATTCTTTTAAGGAAAAAACAAAAGCGAGAAATAAGTCGATCGAAAAGGCTTTTTTTTTTTTTTTTTTTAAAGAAATAGATAATGGAATGGAAGAGGATCTAAAAACACAAATAAAAACGAGAAATAAGATGGAAACGAGAAATAAGAGGATCTAAGCAGTCCCTGAAGATATGAGAAAGGCAAAAAGCAATCGAAAGAGGTATTTAGAAATGTGGAAAGGAGAGGAACGAAGAGATTAGTGATTGATGGCAGTAACACTATGAATGAGAATGAAACAATAATAGCAATGGCTGGAAACACTAACATTATAACATTATAATAAATCGTCAAGTGGAAACACTAACATTATAATAAATCGTCAAGTGGAAACACTAACATTATAACATTATAATAAATCATTAAATCTGCATCTAACGTAACGACAAAATGTGAAAGCCGAAAACCACGGAATGCATGTGGCAAAGACTTATATAAGATGCTACTAACATTAAACACGAATCGGTAACATTTAAATGTTAGTGAAATAATTTTTCAGGTTACTGATATATATGAAAACTTTTGTTATAATAAACCAGTAAACACAATCAAACCACCAGATCACACAATCACAAGGATTCACACAAATCACACCAACACAAAAACACAAGATTTACCGTTGTTCACTTATCCAAATTGGATAAACTACATTCATGTTAAGCTCTGGAAACGGGAGAGCTCACAGCACTACTATTAGAACAAGATTCGAACAGTACAGAATCAATCCAGATTACACCCTCTCAGACCAGATTACACAAGAATCAACCCGTAACTAACCCTAAGGAAACTCACCAGGAATCCTCAAGACACAAGACCAAACAGCTTTCTTAGATTGACTAAAAAACCCTAATCAATCTACCCAAGTTACAATGATTTCCCAAAGTTGTGCAAAACCCTAACCAAGAACAGAGAACTCAATTAGAAGAGAAAACCCAATAATTGCCCTAAATGAATTCAACTATTCACTCTCTTATATACCGTTGACCCCTTTGACAAACCTCATCCATTAGATCTGAACAAGCTTCATGGTCAGGATTTCTGCTGATATTGTCTTAAAACGCAGCGTTTCATTTAAGCCTCAAAGTGACGTCGTTTCAGTCTTCACTTCAACAATCTCCACCTTGAAGACTTGACATATTCAGTAGCACAGTGTGCTCTAGACCATATCCCTCATAGGTCCAAATTATGTTGATTTACTCCATGGACAGTAGCTTTAAGCAGTGCTTGAATTTTGCTGGTGTGATGATCTTTGTCCCCATATCAGTTGGATTTTCTTCAGTGGGTACTTTCTTCAACTCAACTAATCCTTAGGCAACCAGATCTCTCACAAAATGAAACCTAACGTCTACATGCTTGGTCATTTCATGATAGACTGGGTTTTTACTCAGATGTATTGAACTCTGGCTATTTGAGTAAATTGTAACCTTCCCTTCAGTTAGGTTTGCTTCTGACATCATTCCCTATAACCACATAACCTCCTTAAACACATCAGCAATGGCTATGTAATCAGCCTCTGTTGATGAAAGTGCAACTATGGGTTGCAACTGTGATTCTAGCATATGTAATTTCCACCAAGTGTGAAACAGTAAGCAGTTGTGGATTTTCTGGTGTCTTTATCACCTACAAAGTCTGACTCTACAAGCCAAACAAGATCAAGCATAGTATTGTTCTTACAGTACTTTAAACCAACATTTAATGAGTTGTTAATGTATCTAAGAACCCATTTCAGGGCAGTCCAATGATCACTGCTAGGGTTGGACATAAATCTACTAAGAAGTAATATAGCAAAAGACAGATCAGGTCTAGTGCTTATCATTGTATACTTTATGGAACCAATCACATTTGAGTATAGGATATCATAAATCTTTCTCATCTTAGCTTCAGTTTTAGGACACTGGTCTTTACTAAGCATGAAATGATTTGCTAAGGGCATTGAGATAGGTTTTGAATCAGTCATACCAAATTTATTTACCAGTTTCTACAAATAAGCACTCTGATCAAGTTTTAAACAGTTATTCCTCCTATCTCTAGATATCACCATTCCTAATATTTTCTTAGCATTTCCCAGATCTTTCATTTCAAATTCAGAGCTTAGTTTCTTCTTCATATCTTCTATTCTAGATTTGGACCTACTAATTAACAACATATCATCAACATATAATAAGAGGTAAATGGGCAGATTTTTATCTAAGTTAAAATAGAAGCAACTGTCATACTTGCTTCTCCTAAATCCCAAGCCCATTATAAAGGTATCAAACCTTTTGTACCACTATCTAGGGGCCTGTTTGAGGCCATATAAGGACTTATGAAGCAAGCATACATGGTTTGGAACCCCAACATCAAGGAATCCTATAGGCTAACACATATAAATTTGCTCATCTAAATTTCTGTGAAAGAAAGCAGTGGTTACATCTAGCTGTTCTAATTCTAGGTTCTGGTGTGCAGCAATGGACAACATAAGTATGATGGTTTTGTATTTCACCATTGGGGAAAAGACTTTATTGAAGTATATTCCCTCTCTTTGGGTATAGCCTTTGGCAACCAGCCGGGCTTTATATCTAGGAGGGTCAGAAATTGAGATACCATCTTTCAGTTTATAGAGCCATTTACATTGGATCAGTTTCTGGTCTTTGGGTTTGGTCACCAAGGTCCAGATTTTGTTTACCTCAAGTGAGTGCATCTCTGCACTCATTGCTGCTTCCCACTTATCTTTATCTTTGGATTTCATAGCCTCATCATATGTTTCAAGTTCTGTCCTCTGGACTTCTGTACTTGCAAGCTAGGCAGTAAAGATTAGTTCAGCATAAGAATAACGTGCAAGTGGCCTTACCTCTCTCCTGGTTCTGTCCCTGGCCAGTTGGTACTGTTGAAGATCAACTGGTTGATGTTCTAGGATTTCATCAGTGATTTCTTCTTCTGGTTGTCCAGGTTTAGTGCGTTCAGTTTCAGCTTCAGTTTGGGGTTCTGTTTCTGATTGGATAGGGTTAGGATGATGTGTTAGTTGCTCCGCCTCAATTGGTGTACTCCCAGTAGGGTTGGGGTAAGGTTCAGTGTTTTTTATGCTTCCTTGATTAGTGGCAGATCCTTTGCAGGGGAATTCACTCTCATTAAACACTACATCTCAGCTTACTATGATCTTTACCCCTGGAGTCTCCCTATCCCATAATCTATACCCTTTTTGTGCCTTCTTGGTAACATAAGAATATACATTTGGTGGATCTAGGTACAAGTTTCCCTCCTACAGTATGTGCATAAGCAGCACACCCAAATATCCTCAAGTGACTTAAGTCTGGTCCTCTTCCAGACCAAATTTCTTCGGGACATTTTCCATTGATGGCAGTGGATGGGCTTTTGTTTACAAGGTAGGCTGTAGTGGCTAAGGCTTCCCACCAAAAGGTATTTGGCAACCCAGAGGTAAATAAGAGACACCTAACCTTTTCTAGTAAGGTTTTGTTCATCCTTTCTGCCATTCCATTCTGTTGAAGGTCCTAGCTACAGTTCTATGTCTCAAAATGTCATGTTCTTTATAGAAGTTATCAAACTCAGAATTGCAAAATTCAAGTCCATTGTCAGTTCGAAGTGCCTTTACTTTCTTTCCTAGTTGGTTTTCTACCAATGTTTTCCAATCCCTAAACTTAGTCAAAGCTTGATCTTTGGTCTTTAGGAGAAATGTCCAAACTTTCTTGATGTAGTCATCAACAATGGATAGGAAGTAACTGTTCCCACCATGGGATTTAATTTTTTCAGGTCCCCAGAGATCAGAGTGTAAGTATTCTAAACAGTTTGTGGCTAGATGAGTCCCCTTTGAAAAACTTAGTCTGTGTTGTTTTCCTAACACACAGTTTTCACAGAATTCGAGGTTGCTAATTGTGTCCCTTCCAAACACTCCCTGACTACTAAGGATGTTCATACCTTTTTGACTCATATGCCCCAACCTAAGGTGCCATTTTTTAATTACAGTCTGTTTAATGGGAGGCAACACAGTATTAAAACATTCAGGATGAGAATCTCCATATAGTATATATAGGCCATTTCTCTTTTCCCCTTTAAGAACCAAGTTCTGATTTTTGTACACATACAAGCACCCATTGTTAGCTTTATAGGAACATCCAGCCTCATCTAGAGTCTCTAAGGAGATAAGATTCCTTTTTAAATTAGGGATGTACCTAACCTTGGTTAGTTTTACAAGTTTTCCATCAGTTAGTCTAAGAGTTACACTGCTTATACCCTTCACTCTACAGGCCTGATTGTTTCCCATATAGATAGTTTCAGTTTCCTATGTTTCTAGATTTTGGAACCAGTTCTTGTGTGGGCTCATATGAAAGGAACAACCTGAGTCTAGGATCCATTTCTTAGCAATATCAGATGTTGATACTGTCAAGACCTCAGGCTCATCCCATTGGTTTTTACTAGAAGCCAGGTTACTCTCAATGTTTCCCTGTTTGTGTTTCTTCAACCATTCAAAATAGTTTTTCTTGATATGACCAGGTTTATTGCAAAAGAAACACTTCCTAGTATCAGATTTTATTTTATTGTTTCCCTTCCATTTTTTGTTGTTTTTAGACCCCTGTTGATACTAATTTGTCTTTCCTGCTTGACTAGGTTTGGCCTATCTTTTACAAACAGATTGCTTTTATATCTTTTCTGGACCTTTAGCTCTAGTTCACTAGCTTTGAGTCCAGCAACTATCAAATCTAAACTAGGCATAGTCCCTGAATACTGTAAAGCATTCTTTACAACTATATAATATTCGGTTAATGAATTTAATAAAATCATTG